TCAATAGCCCATGATGGATTCTTCTTCCATGAATTTGTCAAAAGCTCTTTGAATCGGCATGAACTCTTTTTAACACCTACAACATCACAGAAGAGGAATTTCACAGTTTACTTCCTGATGTAGAATCTGTCATTTTTGTTTGCTTTGAACCTGCTAGCTGCTAATTTCATGTGATGCACATTAATTCTTCTCTGGGAAGGGAAACCAAACCTTCATTCTTTACGTACTGTCTTCATATTCTTTATGGTTTTATAGACTGCAGTCCTATACTCACCATAGTCATCTTTTCTCTCTGGTTGAAAAGCTGTAGTCTATATCGTTGCTTATATGAAAACTATTTCATACGTTTGATCATTCTCACTGTTCTCTGATGTTTAGTCATGCAGGATTTTTAAATTTTTTTATAGTCATATTTTATAAGTGAGATGTGCTTACTCTGAGCCACAGTGAGCCAAAGTTAGTGCTGCTTTTATTCTCCATGACGGATTTTGCTTTCCATGATCTACCTCCAATTTTATTATTAGGTTAAATAATTCCCACAAGCGAAATTATGGGCCCTTGAATATTTTTGAAACATTTGTTTTGTAATTCCTAACGAAAAGATCTTAACCTACATTCCTTACCAACAGCAACAAGGATTGTTGTAGCTTAAAAGTATATTTATGCAAGATTTCCATTATTCCAGTTCTCAAGTCAAAAAAGACTTGATCTAAAGGCCGGTAAAGAAATAAAACAAAAGTGATATTGTGAAATGAAAGAAGATGTGAACATAGACTATGTAGTGAGCATGAGCTACCTGTTTCCATGGCTGGCAGTCTCAGCCCAGTTAAAGATGTTCACCTGGCTACGGGTACTGTTCACAGTCCACCAGGGCGCGGGTGTGCTGCTTGCATTGCTCTGTATTCCACGTTCATAGAGACTAAATCTTCCTTCAGTATTCCAGTATAGCAGGGTGGGTGGAAGCTCTAAAGATTTATATCAGAAAAGGTACTTTAATGGCTAATGATGATAAGAATTTGTACTTGACATTTAAGCTCCATCATCTATTGCAGCCACTGTACAAACACCAGCTGGTTGGAGCTCGGGTGGGTGTAAAAGACCACCCTTGTGGAATAGGAGCAGATTATGAATAGCACTTCACTTTTTCTTTTCCAGCTCTTCCTAAGCAGGGAAAAGGGAAGAGAATTCATGTAACGTATCTAACATGGTGGGGGACTACATAGCACCTGAGAAAAAAACCTTTAGTATGCTGATAACAAAAAAGTCTGAGGTTTTACTGCATGTCTTGGGCAGTCCCTGAAGTAGCCATGCTGTTGCTTTGAGTTGTTGTGGACAAAAGGGAGGTAAAGGAGAGGGTTAACCTGAATTATCCTGTCTTCCAAGCTTGGCTTTAGATGTAACTATGTTTTTTTTTGTACTAAATACATTTCTCTAAAGTGACTTACAATTGCAATTTAAAAAATGTGTGTATTTGTTATGTTCATTCCCTGTGTATATACTTTGCAATTGTCTTTCATCCTATTTGCAGAAGTCTTTGTGGAAGATTTAACCTTTTGCTTGGTGTATGATATATGTAACAAATTTGGCCATCTGTGGATTAAGAAGACTCTCTCTAGTGTCATAGGCTAATGATGCATATACAGTACATCCTTATCTTGATTAATTTTTCATTTTTTGGTACTGCTGATTTATTACTATCTGCCCTTAAATACCGATTTAAATAGAAAAGTAGATGAAGTTATGGTCGGAACAGATTTTATGAAACAGTACAAGGAAACAGCTTTAGAAGAAAAAAATGATTTTAAGTGTAATTTTAACACATTCAGTATTTAATAACTGAATTAGGTTTTCTCTAAATGCAGTTCATGAATAAAGTATTAGGACATTTATTTTGATTAATAGGAACACCTTGAACATGTCAATGTTACCGAACTGTTTCTTGTTGTAACATAAAAGATGATGGCTTTCTGAGCACTTAGAACTTGATGACAGTGTAAAACATCAAACATACAAAAATTTACAGTAATACAAACTTAAAATGACATCCTTTTTCTTTCATCAGATAATTTCATGCTTTTAGTACCAGAATTTTTATAGTCGTCTTACATGCAGTTTTGAAACCTCCAGAAAATAAATTTATAGCTGGGAAAATGTTCATTCAGATTAACATAATGCAGAGGGGAATGAGGGGAATACATGAAGATTGCATCCAAAGTGTGTATATATATAACAGCTAAATGGTATCCTGCAGTCAGTTTTATTTTTCTGCAAAATTATGGCTCTTAAATGTAGCCAGTATGACTTAAAGGCTTTCAAAGGTTGTTAAAAATATGACTGTAATTCATACGGATTAAAAAATAAGAACGATCTTTTCTAACCAGAGGAGTTGCCGATCATTTGAGAAATGGCAGAATTTCAGGTTACTGGAGGATAATACAAAGTGTTCACTGCAGATGTATGAAAATTATCCCGATGTCAGTTGTACGTTCCAAAAAGGAAAAACTTGCAAACGGACAGAATTATATTTTTTTCTCTATGTATGTGTATTATGTATATATGTATACATACGTCCGTGTGCACATACACGTGTATATAAAATATATGTAGGTATATTTGTAGAATATGCACAAAGGCGCATATATACTCCTGTATAGAATAGTGTGCAGTCACTCTGTTCAATTTTTCCTGCTTTTCCTGTATAACTTTAAGATAGGGTATTCCTATTTTTATTTGTCTGAAGGTTCTAGAGCTTGGGATTTTTTCCTTTAACACAATCATTTTTTAAAAGAAATTATTTATATGTCCTCACTTCATAGTCTGTGCTTGTTACTAATCACAGAAACTCCACAAGAAGGTTACATGGAATCCATATAACTAATGAGATAACACAAGACTATCATTGATGATAATAATGTGAAGATAAAGGGAAATGGCATGCTGTATTTGTTTCATACAAAAATATATCTAATTATTTCATTTTGAAAAACTTCTGTACGTTTTCTATCGGTTGGAAGAAACTGGCTACATTTCTGTACTTTGGTTCTTCAAAATCCCCTGTCCAGCTGTCTGGAAGAGAAATTAAAGTATCACCCAAAGCTTTGTGTTTTGAAGATGCAAAAATGAAATAGAAAAATGGGACTTTCCTCCTTAGTTTTTCTCAGTTCAGATTTTCTGTGCTCAGGCAAGATTAGATTGTGCTAAAAGGAAGAGAGTCTCGCTCAATTCTCTAGCCAAGTAATTTTTTTCTTTTAAATCCCATGTGTTTGGGTGGATGACGGTTTGTTTGTGCTTGATTTTGACAAACTTTGCAAACGGTCAGAATTTCTTGGTTGTCAGTAGTGCAGGCAACATACAGCGATTGTGACATTACATGAGATCTACCGTGTGGTGGGTTTTTTTTTTTCCAGGGCAGATGTAGCTCTGCAATAGCACAATATTGGCTGTATACATTACTGCAAAAATTTGCAGGAATCTTTTCCCGTGTGTTTTCTAGGACCAAACATTACTTGAATTTATGATGACATTGGCATGTATTGTTTATGGACACTGGGGGGAAGTGAGAGACAGGTGGGAAAAAGCCTGAAGCCTACCTGTTTTGTTGTTGCTCTTCTAGTGACGTTAATAAGGTGCCTGAGTATTGACAATTAAATGTTAGAAGGAGCTGATGAAAAGTGTCTTTCAATTTCTATGTGAAACTTCTTAATAATGGCAATACTGTGACACTTATTTATAATGATTATAAAAAAACTGAGATGTTTGAGCCATCTTTTTTCTGTTGTTTTTCTCTCTCCTGTAACCGTAGTCTGGCTTTGTAAATTAGAAATTGATTCGTGGCATATATTGTATAAGTAATTGAATCTTAATAATTTTTTTCTTTCCCAAATTAAAATAATTTGTGGAAGAAAGATAGCATAAAGATAATATCTGATTTGACACTCTCCTATTGAGTAGCAGCAGTTTATTTTCTTTTTTGTATTCATTTTACAGAGTATTATGGCTATCCAGGTTATCAATACAGAACGCCAAGGAGCTATTATGATTATACAGGTGGGCTTACTGAAGAAGAACAGCTTGAAAGGGCAGTGCTAAACAGTCTTAATGAAAGAGGTAGGAATTTTATTGCATTTTATATTTTAAGTTATGATTCATACTGAGAAGGGAGTGAGGAGGGGGGAAAGATGCATTGCTCATTATTTATTTTCCGTATTTTGGACGTATCTTTGGAAACAGATGAAAGTTTCCTCGTAGAATTTTCAGAGAATGCAGCGTGAGGATTGCGGTATCATTCCCTTAGTGTAATTCCATATATTCATAATTGCTTACTGTTTGATTACCTTCCTACTACTATAGTAAAATAAATGCTTTTTTAACAAAAAACCCTTAAGTAAACTAAGTTGCTGTGCCAAAAAAATCTTACAATACTCTAAAAAGTAGTATGAAGTGGTATAATAGAAGAATTGATGTTGCCAATATTTAAACTTTCTCTGTCTGTATATTTTTGCTTTTTATACAAATTTGACAAGCAGTGTACTGATTTCTTACTCTTCACACTGACCTTTTCTACCTTAAAGGAAGCTTATATTCTAGCTAGCTGAAAGACCTAAAAAAAAAAAAGACAGAAATGTTTAGAAAGAAAAATGGTGTTTGTTTCTTCACTGAAATGTATTAGTTAAATTAGTATAAAATACATTCATTAGGATATATTTTATCTTTTTATAATGCAACTGAAATCAAGAGGGAAAGAATACTTCATAGAATCTATTTCTCAGCTTCTGAAAACTTCAAGACTTGAGGGAAAATCTGTTTAATAGGACTGACAGCACATTAGTAGAGCATCATGTGTAAAATTTACATCAGAGTTATGCAAATTTTTTATATTAAAGTGATAAAATAAAGGGCAGAAATGAACATAGTGTATGTTGTCTGGTATTGAGATCGTTTTTCGTATCAAACATTGCTTCCTTTTTAATCTGTTGCATGTCAATATGGATTCTTTTGGGAATTCAGCCAAAGGCTTTAGGTGCTCCTTAACTTAAGAAACCTGAAAGATTTCTTTTAAATTTGGTGAAGCTGTAACATTTAATCTTAACAAAAATAATAACGTGACTGAATATCTTCTCAATGTCGTTTTCCTCTTTCATAATCTTGGTAGTCTATCTTCCTGGGTGCAAGGAAGCATTCATTAGGAAAAAGATAGAGAAGCCTCTACTTGTAACTGCAACCCTTAAAATGCGGAGCACCATTCATAAATCTCTGCTCAGAAAATTAATTTACACCACTGTGTTATGGCTGTCAGAGAAATACCAGGCAAAATATGAAAATGAGTATCTTGACAAATCATCATCACTTTTACTTTCACACCTTCTGTGATCCTATTTTTTATTATGAAGAACATGTCATGTTATCTGGAAGATGGTTTTAAAAAGGCAGCAGTTGAGGCAAGTTTCTGATAGGAAAAGGCTTTTCCAGTTTGAAAAATGTATTAATGTATTTTTTAAAGTAAATACAGCTTTTTGCTTTATTAAATTTGCATCTATTGTGAGAGTCACCTGGGAGGCAGAAGTGCAGACTTTTAGGGTAATTAGGGAGAGGCTAAGTAATTCTTTTTCTAGTTACCTTCATTTTTGCATTCACCTTTGTTCTTTAACCATAGTTCTGTCTGAAATCAAGAGGGAAATACTGTCCCTCAGTATTGTGAAGCTAGAAACTTTAAAAAAACCCAACACATTTTCTACAGCAAGATTATTCCTGTAATATATTTGTTCTAGAAACAATTGCAATCTCAGCAGTCCCATTTCAATCAAACTGTACCGAAAACCTTAGAAGATAGTGAGAATATTAGCTTTCAAATAAATCAATAAAATAGCATTTAGTCCATCTGGTTTGTCGGCAGAAGATAGTAAATTAGTTACTGTTCATGCTGTCGTAAGAATTTTTTAAAATTAACAAAGTCATATCAATATGTTTTCCTATCTAAGTACTAGATCTTGGGAAGGAATGGGTCTAAAATGAGCTTTATTGTAAGGGATATTTTTTATTTTACTGTTGTTTTTACATGACATTTTACATCATTTTTAACACTGAGTTTGAGAAAGAAATCCTTCAAAGCTGTTAGTAGTAAGCATTCTGAAATGTTATCTGCAAGAATGAGCCATGTTTGTGTTTTTTTGAAATTGTCAAGGAAAAAATACAAATAACAGTGACAAAATTATGATAATATAAAAAACTAGATAGTATACACTTTAAGGGCTTTCATGTATCAGTGTGGAACACCTGCAGCTTTCATTTGTAGCCTTAAATAATCTACATCACTATAGGTAAGTATTTTTTTGTCTGCTTGTTGGTTTTGGACAAAGATAAGTTTTCAACTGTAAGAGGGAATTTATTCTTACTTGGAGAATGCCCTTTGATGAAACATGAGATAGAAATTAAGTAGCATCTCTAAGTAAGTATCTCTCACTGGTAGATAACTGTGGCATACCGAGTCACACTTTTAACTTCAATTTGAGGCAGCAGCATTTCTTAAGACTATGGTAGTGTCTGTTTTCAGTGCTAGTTAGAGTTTTTAAGCCTCACAGAGAAGTGAAGTGGGAAAATGTATCATTGTATATTGTTTCCAATTTAGTTTGGTGTGATGAAATATATCTAGATGTTGTTTTCAGTGGTTTCACAGGAGTGCTTTAATTTTGCACCTCTTTCTCCTACCTGCTGGAGCACTTTAGTTTGGAAAAGCAAGACCTTAGAGCTGAACTCTTAAAATATTTCCTTAAACAAACTGCTTAAAGGTTAAGCTTCCCTATAAGCAGATGCCTTTTTTCACAAAGGAAGTAATATAGAGTATGTAAGTGATCATACCTGTTTTAGTGACACAAAGGATGAGGTGAAATTTACTGTGCTAACGAGCAATTAGGAAGTTATACCCTGTCAGTTTGTTTGAAAAATAATAGCTTGAATGAGCACTGTCCGTTGAACGCAATACATTTTTCCCTAAAGCACAACATTTACAGTTGCTTGCAATTACATGGATGATGAAACAGGTACTTAACATGACTAAAAAATTACATAAAATAATTTGAAATAGATAGCTAAATGGATGTAAAAACAGGGACTGCAATCAAAATTTAGGGCTCTCTTTCCTTATTGATCTTCCCCCCACCCCCCAACTATGACATTTAAACCATCATGGTTGCTCTGTAGCTTGGACAAAAAAGTATTGCAGTAATTTTGATTGATCCCCCCCCCCAGTTGGACAAATGAAATGCATTTATTAGGGTTTTTAGGCCACAAAATGTACCATTATGGATTTGGAATGTTGATCCATTCCTACAAAGTACTGTATTAGTATCCTACTAAGCTATTAAAAGAATCAGTGGCATAGTACAGAATTTCCTGATATCAGTTGTCCACAACTGAAAACTGATTTGTATTAAGACATGCATTGAATTTAAGCTCAGTAGTTACTCTTCTATAATCCTGTACAGGGGTTATCTAAACCCACCATAAAGGTACTGCATTTCTGCTTATTCCGCAGTCAGGCATTCCTGAACTGCAATTCTATTTTTATGCTATATCCTGAACATTTCTTAAATAATAATAATTAGTGTCTAATGCGACAAAAGAAATTGCTAGGCTTGTTTATGGGATTTATGTAGGCATCAGTTTTAAGACTATCAAACTGTCATAATGATTTAGGTCCGTTTACTAAAAGGAACTGTTATTTATATTCTTTCCATTCCCAGTTTTAGATATGCTGTTGTCTCAAACAAGAATTGGTTTAAACAGCATTAAATTTTTTTCTTCGAAGTGGTTTGGCTGGTTTTGGTGTTTTTTTTTTTTTAATTTTCATTCTTAGTCTCATAATTCTATATTTGGTTACAAATGGCAATAATTCTTCCCTTAGTTAAGTCAGGAAAATAATTTTGGATTTTAAAAATCATAGCCTTTGATATTTAAACTATATGGTTTTACTATGAAGTTAAAATATATGGCTGCCATTTTTGTTTAATACTAGTATTAGCAGCCATCCTTAATGTAACCCCAGTAAACCATATCTCTTCTCTATTGTTTACTTGCTATTCTGCTCAGAAGAAATATCTTGATTAGTGTGGGATGTGGATTTGGATTTTTGTTGTGGTGGGTGTTGGGATTTTTTGTGAGTTGAACTTCTCAGCGTCTGTCTTTCAATCTCAATAATGTTAAGAATCCCTTGCAAGCTCATGTCTCTGCACAAAGGAATTTTCCTCTTTTTCTTAGGACTAAGCTCTTTAAACATGTAGGTGATAGTCTTTATAGTTTGTGATTAAAGAGAAAAACCTTTAAGTATACATATATAGATATTCCTCTTATATTTTATAGTGAAACTGTCTGTATATGCATTTCTTTAGTTCTAATTTAAAACAAAACAAAAAAATCCTCATCCACTCGAAGTTTTTAGATGGCCAAGTATGGGCTAGTCATAGGTACCTTTGCGGTGTAGTTAGGAAATATCTAGGCATCTGGCTTACTGCTCTGACTTTTTAAGGGTTCCCATTTCTATTTTCTTCTACTGAGACTGGACTTTTTATTATTAGTCTATGAAATTTGCCAAATTCATGGGACATTGTAATAAGAATGAAACTGATGTGATAAGACTATAGAAAAATGCTGTATAGTTCAATTTTTTTTTCCCAATCAGTGTTATCTTTCCCTTCTGCAATTGTAGGAATGCCAGTCATCACATTTGACTATGACAGTTCTGTCTTGAAATAGGTTATATGCTCAAATGTGCCGTGCATGATATCGGATTAAAATACATTTCATAAAGTCATATGCTGGGACTTGCATCTGATTGTTAAAGTCCAACTTTATTTTTTTTTTTTTTTTTTAAATTCAGACTGTGTATGGCCTTGGGTACCCAACAACACTTTTTGGAAAAAAGCTCTCCCCCTCGAGTAGAGCTCTTGTTCTAAATATCTTTCTAAAACTGTGATCATGCTCTATGATCCTGATCACCAGCACTTTCTTCAGGCAAATTTCCAGGAAATTAAATCAGTAAACTTTTATCATTTCCACACAGAAAGTTTTGGTGTATGCTCAGTGTAAGTAGCAGACCACTTGCAACAAGAAGC